AAGTGATCCAGAGGGTAGCTACATCTTTTTTTTCTCTTTTTTAAAAAAGAAAAAAAACAAAACTCAGACATAAATCTTTATAAACTCTTCAGATGTGAATAAGTAAGTTAAATGAGGGCCAACATCCTGGCACCAAGGGGCACATGCTCTCCTCATGTCTGTGTCCAAAACAGGGCCAGGAAGTGACCTGGACCACATATTTCCTGGCAAAGAGCGAGACTTTGGCAAATAGCACTTACTGAAACTACGCCCTGGCGCAATACCAACTGCACCAGGTTTGGCTCTCTCCACTCGCCAGCATTCCACCAGCAATGTGAGGCTCTGGAACAAGCCACATGTACCCCCAGTTTCAGGCTACTAGAAAGTGTGCAGCACAGCTCTCACCTTATTTCAAATGCTAAGTAGGAAAAATACCATTACCTTTACTGTCACCATTGCCCATTTGCCAGCAGAGGACACATTCACCCTTCCTTGAAGTTAGGCAACTCTTCAGGTTGTTACGAAGAACGTGTGGACAAGGATGCTGAGGCACTTTCTGTTACTGCTATGTGCTCAAGTCAACTTCTTTGAAAGCCTTCCAGAGGATCAAAATAAGGTGCCTCAGACAGACAAGACTACAACACCTCTACAGTCAGTGGTGGTGTTCCAGGTGGCCTGCTGGAAGCACTAGAAATTGAGAAGTTTTTGCTTTGGGGGAAGGAGGCTAGGGCTTACCAAAACCTGTGAATTTACTAGAGCCAGAGATCCTAGCAAGTACCGAAGTTAAGAACACAGGTGCTTCTCTCCATTTACCAACACGCTGAGGAAAGCCTATGATCACTTACAACTACTAGAAAATGCTTATTTCTGATAATTTTTGGTAACACAGGTAAGTATCACAGAATTTCTTCTAACCAAACATCAGAAAAGCTTTGGCAAAAAGAATGACTGAAAATATTTTGTAAATGTTAACCCACGGGAGAATGCAATGAGGATAGGAACAAGGTCCTTATATTTCTACAACCAGCTTATAGATGAAAACGGACATACCTTGGAGAAAGCAGACCCCCCCTAAGTCTAGTCCCTGTGCTAACAGAACCACACCACCTAAGTCACTGTGGCCAACTCCTGCAATATAAGAATACTGTGAATTCAGAGGTTTTCCCAGGTTTTATAACTTCTCCCAGGTTTTATCACTTTTCCCAAAGTGTTAAAAGGTAAAATCTCTCTCTCTTTTTTTTTTTTTTTTATTTTAGGTTCCTCATTTTTGTAGCTGTATGAATATGCTTGAGAACACTCTTCCAAAAGGCTCAAGAACCAGAAGAGGAGATTTTGCAAGCTGCCTTTACACTGAACCGTTCTTAAATAATTTTCATTCTACTGGTGGAAGGTTAGGAGAATTTTTGCCCTCAAGGGCTTGTCAGCATTGGATGCATTAGTATACCTTCCATACAATTTACACCTCAGCCCCACAGATGCAAAGATCAGCTCTAAGACATGCAGGGTCCTGTTCTTGAGCACACATGGAGATACATCCTCCTTGCACATAGTCATCAGCATCCCATTCAACCTCCTGTCATGGCCCTAGGGCTAACCACCAGCCTCAACTCAAAGAACCTTCCCCTCACCATTCGTATTTACTAACGTTTCATAATTCACTACGCCAGAAGCTTAAGTAGTCTGTTGACTGCTAGACCTTTCTCCCTCAAATTTCTTTTCAAAGCCTTTTGAAACTACTGCACAGCCTCCACCTCCTTCCCATTTGGAACATCACCATATTTTCCCTTCGAGAAACACAGAATGTTTCTATGTTTCGCTAGCATTTTACATTTGTGTAGCACCTGATTCTTGAAAAATCTTGTCTGGACCCAAAATGACCTCAAGTGACTATCACAGTGGCACTACAATAAAAAAGTACATCTTGCTTCAAATGCTGTGTTGTTTTCTTGTATGCTGACCTGAGATCCTTGTATGTGTTCCCATCTGTACTGTGCTTAGCTGCAAAACTATGAGCTGCTGTGATTCCCTTTCTCTATGTCCGTCCTCAATCCAGTCTTTGTCTTACTTGTCCGAAAGATTGCAAGCAGAGAACGGGGCAGGGCTGACGTCTCTGGTGCTTACAACATTGGGGCTCACGTACTTAGGTTTTTAGATTGTATGTTATACAAAGAGGAACAACTCCTAGTCACAACAGGCTTGCAAATCCACTTAGAGTAAGTGGATTACAGTAAGGCTTTTATAACATTGATGACTCTTCTGTTGCAGCACATTTAGGTTATGCTTATTTCTATTACCTTTCCTTTGAATTAAACAGTGGGAGCAGGCAGCCAAGGAAAACACAGGTATTATTTCGAATAATCTAATTCCACAGCAAGTTAATGAGGGAAATAAGTCATCTTAAAGCTTTCTAAAATTGAATGATATTTTTTAACAAGAACTTCACACGGTCAATTCATTAAGTATCCTGGTATACCAAGATCTCAAATTTGGAGGCTTCACCACCTCATTAGAAACACCATCAGTTCAGTCCGTGTCTATAAGAATATCCTGCACATGCTTATGGCCAGTGGATAAGATATGCCCTTGCGGTGGGTTGACCCCCAACCAACAGCCAAACACCCACCCTGACTCCCTCTCATTCCTCTCCTGCAGGAAGGGGAAAAAATAAAAGGAAGACAAGAAGACTCATGGATTGAGATAATGACAGTTTGATAGGGAAAGGAAAGCTGCGCATGCAAGCAAAGAAAAACAGGAATTCGTTCACTACTTCCCATCAGCAGGCAGATCTTTAGCTACTTCATGGGAAGCAGCACCTCAACATGTACAACAGTTGCTTGGGAAGACCGCCATAACCACAAACATCTGCCCTTCCTCCTCCTTTCACTGAGCTTTTAATGCTGAGCTTGACATCAAGTGGTATGGAATATCCCTTTGGTCAGTTCGGGTCGGCCGTCTTGGCTCTGTCCCCTCCCAACCTCTTGCTCATCCCCAGCCTACTTGCTTGGGAGGGCATGGGGGAGAGAAAACCTTGAGAGAAAGCAAACACTGTTCAACAACAGCCAAAAAAGTGGTGTGTTATCAATACTGTCTTAGCCACAAATGCAAAGCACAGCACCATCCGGGCTGCCACGAAGAAAGTTAACTCCATCCCAGCCAGACCCAGTACAATCTCAACGCCTTATTCCACACCATTCACATCATGCTCAGGTCACACATTATCTGATACATCTAAGTATCCTCTGTCCCATTCATACATTGTTTAATTTCTATACCCTACTCAAACCTTTTCATTCTATGTTTCTCATTCCTGAAATTCCTTCTTAGCAACACTTACAATTTATACTACATACTTAAACCATCTTTACATCCAATAGTCAGGTTTATACATCCTCATTAACCACTATACCTTGTCCCTTGACATATATACAGATGTTATCCCCCCATTCCATGCTCCCCCTCCCCCAAATGTCCATAAGAACAGTCGATGACTTTGGTCCTATCTGTCAAGGAGATCACTCAGGACAGGAGAAGCAGCGTGTTGGATTGTTGAGCACCAAGACCGCTTGGGCTGGGTCAGCGCTGCACTCACATGGTTCCTTGTGGGGCTCATTCTCTGTTGGTTCAGGTGATTTCTGCTGTATTACTTCCCATATCATACAAGTCAAATCATGGATTATTTTCGCCCAGGGATAAATCTCCTTGAGGTACACTCCAGATTTCCACTTCCTTCTGCACCACCCACCAAGCGCCCCTGGGTCCTTGAGCAAAGACAATCCCACAAATGGGCTTTTCTTTTCCCAAGGGAGAGCAACTCACACTGCCTTTCCCAGCCACTCACCTGTATGTACTACGAGGACCTCATCTCGTCCCACAGTATGTGGGGGCTTTGTTTGGGCAGAACCAGGGCAGTCAGTAGATTATCTGGTGTTAACCAGCCAAGTGGCTTCTGCTAAATTTACGTCCCACTGCTTCCATTCCCCAGCACCCATTGCTCTCAGCATAGTCTTTAACAGTCCATTGTATCGTTCAGTCTTTCCAGAGGCTTGTGAGTGATAGGGTACATGATGCACCAAATCAATGCCATGTTTCTTGGCCCAGGAGTGTACGAGTTTATTTCAGAAATGAGTGGCACTGCCTGACTCGATTCTTTCTGGGGTACCATGACACAGAACTTGACTTTCAAGGCTCAGGATGGCATTTTAAGCAATGGCATGGTTTACGGGGTATGTCTCCAGTCACCCAGTAGACACTTCCACCATGGTAAACACATAGCACTTGCCTTGGCAGGTTCAGAGCAGTGGTCCAGTGTAGCCGACTTGCCAGGCCTCACCATACTGATATCCCAGCCACCTCCCTCCCTCTATTCCAGGGAGACTTTACTCACATGGGTCACTTGATTGCAGTGCATGTTTCACATGTGTGATGGCCTCAACAGTCAGGGCCACCCCTCAATCACAAGCCCATTTTTTCATTGTATCTCTCCTAGTTACTGTCCTTATCTTGACTTCTTCACGCTTTTTCATCCTATTTTCTCCCCCTGTCCTGTAGAGGAGGGGAGTGAGAGCGGCTCAGTGGCCATCTGGCTGCTGGCCAAGATTAACCCATCACAGTCCTTTTTTTGGCATCCAACACGGGGCACACAGATTTGAACCAGTAACCTCTTGATCTGCAGTCAAATGCTGCTGGCCCAGGTCAATCCACCACAATCCAAACCTGCTCCCTTTAAGACATTTCTTATAGCTGGAGAAGGCTCTTGCCTAGAGCAAAGATCAGGCTTGCCTCGGATGACCTCCTTCACTGAGTTTTTGAGTATAATTATCAGTAGAACAAAATTCAAAGCTGCTGAGAAATGCATGTGAGTAGCACTTCTGCAGGCAAGGACGAGGCAGCTTATCAAGGTGTTGAACATATTCAGTAAAACTTGGTTAAATAAATCATCTTTTAAATCAACCTTTGCCCAATCAAAGTCCAGCCTTACTTATAGGTACAGCGGCAGGAGGGGCAGCAAAAGAGAATTCCTGTGAAGGCTGCTCCACACAGACATACAGGTAAGAAATTCCTTTTTTGCTAATCCCTCTTTCCTTAGGAAACTCCTTTTTACGATCCCGGTAATTTTGCATGTAAAGCTTTCATGGATTAAAAGGAGTAGTATGCAGTGCACTGTAACCTTCCCTCCATTTCTAAATATGATGAAATAATCTCCATTAAAACCTACTGTTTCTTCAGCTTTGTGTACCACTGGTTTTGCATGTTAACTTCAGGAATTAGCACAGATTCCCAGTGTTTGTCAAGAAAAACTGCTCTGAGTTGTAGTTGCAAGCAATACAGTCCGATGGGTTCCAAACAAGGTCCAAATAATAGGGCAGTCCATCCCTATATGGAGTTAGTCCCAGTGCAACTACACAGAGACTCAAAAAAGTACAAGGCACCTGACCAAGGGGAACAAGTGAATCATGATCTGCAGGCCCCCATCCCTGCATGCTGAAATTCTCCATATTCTCCAGCTTCAGTGACATCTGTGCCAAACCCCCACCATACAACCATACTGTTCTACATGCTGCCCAGCTAACCTCAACAATGCACTTTCAGCTTCAATAGCAAACAGTCTGTAGCATGGGTAGCCACAGAGGTGGTTTTGCAGTAGGCTGCTATCATGGAAGGATCTGACTGCCAGCTACTTCTAAAAAAAGGAAAAGAAAAAAAAGGCCATTTCCCACATACATTAGTCACACAGGTGATATAAAGAGAAGAAAAACCACGGAGTTGCAAAGAAATCTTTACAAACAAACATGAATTTTCTTAGTATTTATTAGGCTGTGATTAATGGCTAATCTCTGCAACACAACTTTGGCCTTTTGACAGACTTCTGTCAGTAGAGAGAGGCAGGGAAAAAAAAAAATCTTTCCAGTAAAATACATACCAAGTTTGCTAATTACCTGGACTTTCCAACTGGAGGAAGTTGTCTTCATTTGTCTTGCTGTTCTATCGTCATGCATCTTGGGCAGGAGTTCCTGAGACAACTATCTTTGGAGTTGTTCCCTGGTCACAACTATTGCTTACTTTCAGTACATAGTATTCCTGCTAATGATATGCATCACCCAAACCACAGTTTCATTACATCATAAAAGCATAGAATAGTTCAGGTTGGAAGGGACTTCTGGAGGTCGCCTGGTCCAATGCCCCATACAAAACAGGGCCAACTTAGGTCAGGTTGCTCAGGGCCCCATCCAGGTAAGTATCTCCCAGGATGGAGATTCCACAGCCTCTCTGGGCACCTGTTCCAGTATCTGACAACCCCCAAGATGAAAAGCTGTCCTTATGGCTGTCTAATTGGAATTTCCCTTGCTGCAGCCTGTGTCTGTTGCCTCTCATCCCACCACTGTTAACTTCCAAGAAGAGTCTGGCTCTGTGTTCCCTACACAATCTAGTTAGGCAGTTGAAGACATCAATGAGATCTTCCCTTTCTTCCCAAGACTGAATGAACGCAGCTCTCTCAGCCTCCTTAAACATTATGTGCTCCAAAACCTAAATCACCTCAGTAGAAAGGCTCCAATATGTCAATTACTTGGGGAGCTCAAAACTGGAGACAGTACTCGCATGTGGTCTCACAAGTGCCAAAGAGAGGGGAACAATCCCTTCCATTGACCTGCTGGCTACATTCTGATACCACCCAGTATACAGTTGACCTTCTTCACCGCAAAGGTACACCTGACTCATGTTCAACTTGGGCATTTGAGTGCTGTCCAGCAACACCGCCTTCTGGCCAGCCAGCAGTCAGCCTGTATTGCCGTGCATGGTCTAGATACAGATTTTTTTTTTCACTTTTCTTTGTTGAACTTCATGAGATTCCTGTCAGCCCATTTCTCCAGCCTGCTGAGGTCCCTCTAAATAGCAACCCTAACCTCCAGCCTATTGACTGCTCCCCCTCAATTTGGTACCATCTACCAGCTTGTTGAGAATGTGTTCTGTCTCGCTGTCTGTATTGTAAAGAAAGATGTTAAACAGTATCAGTCCCAGTACCAACTCTAAAGAATGCCACTAATAACCAGCCAACAGCTGGATTATATACCACTGATCAAACCCCTCTGAACCTAGTGGCCCAGCCAATTTTCTGCATCATCTAGTAGTCTGCTTATCCAGTACATATGTCACCAAATTGGCTACACTGACTCTACTAGAGACTATCAAAGTCATTGCAAAAATTGAGGTGAACAGCATCCGCTGCTCTCTGCCTGTCACAGAGCCAGTCCACTCATCATGTAAAGTTATCAGGTTCATCAGCTATCATAAAAATCAGTAAATCCATACTGTCTGATCCCAAACACCTTCCTGTCCTTGGCACATGTGCCTTGACACAGCTTCTAGGAGGATTTGCTCCAAAACCTCCAGAGGACAAAGGTCACTGCCTAACAGCAATCTGGTAGCAATCCCCAGCACCCAGTATACTCTTTAACCACCTGGCCTCAAATTCTCTGGGGAAGTAACACAGGACCCTGGAGACACTGACTGGAAATTCTCCTCCAGTTGTCACACATTCATTGAGAAATCATTTGAATCAAACTGCTGCAGTTACTTCAGCAGCCTGTCATTTCTAAACCAAATTCAATTTCTTTCCTTTCTCACACGACATCACATTTGTATATTGATTACATCTCATGTCATTGTTAAAGTCATCAGGGCTGGAGACAAAGTTCTAGTCAGACAGCAAATTGAGGCTTTATGGTCATTTCAGGATTCATGTGAGAATTGCAAGATAAGCATACTGTCTCAGCTCTGTTTTGTTCCACACAGACCAGGCAGTGTTAAATTGCCTCTCCTGCAAGTGATTACCTGATGGCACACTCACATTGTCAGTATGCCTGAATATTCCACGCTTTTGTTAGACCTCATAATACCTGCATTCATACCTTACCCAAGTCTCGCATATAATGATATACCAAAGTGAAATAGCTCTGTTAGCTCCTCTTCATAACAGAACCAGTGTTTAATTAGGATTCAGAGGCAGAGGAAAACATGGACAGCTCCAGGAACTTCGACCCTACCAGCAACTTCTAAAGGACACAGAAATAAAGCAAGTGCACCATTTTGTATGAAAACTGAGACATAGAAATAGCGAACCCAACTAGAAGGAAAAAAGCAGCTTTGTAAGTGGAGACAAGGGTCTTCCTAGTTCCTTTATAGTCCTTGCTTTCCACCCTCCAGTGCAAACCCTGCACTCATTAACAGTAACGCTCCAGTTACAATGTCTTTTCCTGAAACTTAATTTTGTTTAGCTAAAATAACTAAGAACAGGAAAGCCTGGTTAGGACAATGAGGTCCTTCCTTGATCCCCCCTGTTCGTCCATCTGCACAGGTTGCCCAGAGAAGTTGCAGGGTCTCCACCCTTGGAGATATTCAAAAGGCTGAGAGTGCTGGGACTGTTCAGCCTGGAGAAGCAAAGGCTCAGGGGAAACTTATCAATGTATAAAAATATCTGAAGGGAGGCTGCAAAGAAGATGGAGCCAGACTCTTCTCAGTGGTGCCCAGTGACAGGACAAGAGTCAATGAGCACAAACTGAAACACAGGAGGCTCCATCTGAATGTAAGGACACTTTTTTACTATGAGAGTGACTGAGCACTGGCACAGGTTGCCCAGAGAGGTAGTGGAGCCTCCCTCCTTGGAGATATTCAAAAGCTGTCTGGGCTTGGGCCTGGGGAACTGGCTCTAGGGGACCCTGGTTGAGCTGGGAGGTTGGAGCGCATGACCTCCAGAGGTCCCTTCCAACCTTGACCATTCTGCAATTCTGTGAAATCCCATTTTGTCACATAACTTTCCTATACTGTTCCAGTATTTTTGTGCTGCCGTTATTTTTCTTCTGGAAGACTTAATTCTGGTATTAAACCCTCACCTCAATTTTCACTATGTTATCACAGGCAGACAACTTCTTTCTTCCAGTTCTGCATCTGGCTTAACTTCATTTGAGATAGGGAGGCAAGAAAAGTGAGGAGGGAGAGGGGGAAGGGATTGGTTTCTTCTCCCTAACCTTGTTAACTAGCTTCAACTTTGCACAGCTGGATTTCCAGGGAAACAAAACCCCAAGAATTCTGAAGCAAACTGTCTCAACATGTATTTAGAGGGAATGTATCTAGGAAAGCTTACTGTTTTTACTCACGCATATCTTTTCCATCCTGTCTGGTAGAGATGACTTCTATTCTCCAGCCCCGAGAATGTAAAGTGACCAAAAAACCCCAAAAGAGCTACGGATTCTACCTGCGTATTGAGAAAGACACAGCAGGCCATCTCATCCGGAACGTGGAAAAGAACAGTCCAGCTGAAAAGGCTGGCTTGAAGGATGGAGACAGAGTCCTCAGGGTTAACGGTGTGTTTGTACACAAGGAGGAACATGCACAGGTACATCTCTGTTTAGTCTGGGATCCACACCACTCCCCCATTACCCAGACCCACTGCCACTATGTGAAGCTTCCTCTTCCAGTTTTTATGGCATCTTCGGCTAGGAAATCCAAGAGCTGAGTCAACTGCTCTGAGTATCTCCCTGCATCATTCATTACCCACCATGGGCATGAAATGTCTTTGAGGTGCCTCCATAGTGCATAAGCAGAGGGATGAGAACAAAAACAGTAGATGGTGCAACCCTTCCTGGGGAGAGCTTTTAGGTCAATCACTCTAGCACCTGCTTGCCCTTTCACCTTGTCCACTGCAGGTGGTGGAGATTGTCAAAAACAGCGGGAATTCTGTTGTACTTCTTGTTCTGGATGATGCATCCTATCAAAAGGCAGAAAAGGAGGGAGTGAACTTGGAAGAGCTGGGTCAAAAGGCATCAACAGGACAGCAGCAGGAGCAGCAGTCCCCACTGCCCATGGCCAATGGAGCAATCACTGCAGTTCCACAACCCCAGCTCTGCTACCTAGTGAAGGAGGAGAATGGCTATGGCTTCTCTCTGAAAACCACAGAAGGTGAGAGCCTGGGTAGAAGACATGGGGGGGGGGGGGGGGGGGGGTGTGTGTGTGTGTGTGTGTGTGTGTATATATGTATGGCAGCAGGGACAGAGGCAACCACAGTTAACACGTGGGGGCCAATGGGGACATGCCAACTGCTCTTGCTAACAGAGAGAAGCAGCAAGATGAGTTCAGATCCATCTCTAGTCCATTTCTGTACAGCATACACAGTGCATGGTTTTCTGAGGACCACATTTCTTATGGGGTGGAGAAAATATTAAAAAAAAAAAAAGATGAAAAGAATAAGCTATTTTCTGCTTGTTATTTAAACCCACTTACCAAAACCAAACTTGCAGTCCTTGCTCAAATACCAGATATACACTCAAGATGTTACATTAAGTCCTGTTCCATTCCTCCAAATCACCTCAGGAATGGAAGGCGACTTCCACACCTTCTTTTTTTGTGATTTCCACAAACCTTTTGATGTTCTTTTCACACAAGGTTCTAGACAGCTGTAATAAACGCTCTTCCTGATTTGTAAGTTATTTCATTTAGAAAGCAAGGGATTTTGAACCTCTTCCACATATGCCTTTCTTCCAAGGCCAGTCAACAGAATAGGGAAGTCTTCTGGAAAGCATCACCTCTAAAGAGGGTATTTTGGAATGCAATATAGCTGAAAAACCAAACATGGAAGCCTTCCAAACACAGGAAATTATGAAATGTATAAACCAGCAATAAAAGCAGCTCCTCACTTCAAACTGGGAGGGAATCAAATCCCTTTCAGCTATCTTAATCAGCCCCTTTGGCACTCTTGGTAGAGAAGTAAGATTGTTTGAGCTGCAGATAGTGAACAAATGCCTCCCTCCCCCACAGAAGTGGTTTTTCCAGGTCAGAATAAGAGACAGAGGTGTGTCTACCTGGAAGGTTTGTGGTGCCACTGTAATCTGCACGTAAGCAGAGACCAAGAGCCTCTAAGGGTATCATTGCCGAGTTTCCTTAACCATTAAATTTGGGCATATTTCAATGACTTACCCTGTGTAATGAGTTTTCATTTATTTTAGGACAGAAGGGGTTGTTCATAGTAGAGCTTTCATCACAAGGAGCAGCTGCAAAGGCTGGTGTCCAAAATAATGATCGCCTGATTGAAATCAATGGAAAAAATGTGGAAAATGACACACATGAGGAAGTGGTGAAAAAGGTATTTGTTTGTATATTGATTCATCTTCTGTTCTGGCCCACTTTCACAGCAACCTATGAGGGTTACTGAGGAGGCAGCTCTGGCTGATTTGAATGCTTCTCAGTAAATCTTAGAAGCTGCTGTTCGTGTATCATCAACATGGCAGAGTACCCCTCTGCTTTGGCTCTGCTGTCAAGCGGCCTCTTGAACTGACTCTGAATACTGCCATCAAGACAGGCCAAAGAATTTTAAATAACAGAAGTATATTGCTGCCAGGAACCCTATTAAATAAATCATGCTCTGTTCCTAGAAGTCCTGGAAATACTCCTAATGGTAAGGGGGCAAGTCATCAAATGCAGTTTTCAGGGCAGGAAGAGGGGGAGCTCTCTGATGATACAGTTAGCATGGAACAGGGAAAATTCATGATTTTAGACAGTAGTTCCTTCTCCTGTTAAGTCCAAAACTAATGAAAATTACTCTGCAAGTAATTTTACCAACTGGTCTCAGCTGCAAAGAACATTGCTAATGAGGCTTCCAGCTTTCCACTATTGGCACTGCTAAAACGCAGCTGGAGCTGAAGAGATTTCAGAGCCATGAGACAGGCAGTACATGCTCCGGCCTTCCAGCATCACAATTCAGTGCACGCTACTAACTATGGAACCGTGCAACACCTATGTTTTGTTCAGCTGTAGTAACATCAGGAGCAGAGTGACACTGGTTAAGATGAGTAAAGAGGGCACCCATTAGACTAGAAAGGAATAAGAGAAGAATGGACTTGGAGAGGTTGAACAGACAAAACAAAACCCCAAAACCTTAGAATCAGTAATACAAGGAGATGGAAGAGGACCAAGAGTGACAAAAACTTGACTCTTGTCACTGTAATCTAAAATAGTGGTATAGATGGCATGATATGTCTATGTTGTAGAGTTCCACATCTAGGTAAGCCAAGCACTATCTACTGAGGCTCACTGGATTCTACTGGCACTGTATGCCACCCTCATGCCACTCTACAGGTAATTCCCTAGAGGTCAGGAACACAGTATGAAATACAGAAAATTTCCTCATATACATGCTGGATCTCAAATGCCCGAGATCTTGTCATGGCCTAAAATTTCTGACTGGGGGGAGGGGGGGGGGGGAAAAAACTTTAATAAGCTTGGGCTCGCAC